CAGATAGAATAGAAAAAGAATAGAGCAAGCTAGTGTTAGAGGCCTTTTTTGCTTTTGTTAATCAGAAGTCAGAAGTCAGAAAGTCAGAATTATAATTGTATAATAAATAAAAAGAAAACAGATAGAATGCAAAAAGATTAGAGAAGCAAGTGTACGTTATTTTTATTTTTTTAAAGAAAACAAGCAGTTAGTAAATAAATAAATAGAGTGCAAGTTTAAAAGGGGCCATTTTTATTTATTTTTTTTAAATAAAGAATAGAATTAGAATAGAGAGTGCTACAGTTAGAGGGTCAAATAAAGATGGAACAGATGTGTTTTTAGTCATTTCTTGAAGATGGCTAAGGACTCAGCTGCTCGGATTGAGTTAATTTATAATAATTAATAAAAATGTACACATTTAGCAGAGACTTTTATCCAAAGCAACTTACAAATGAGGACAATGGAAGCAATCAAAATCAACAAGAGCAATGATGTGCAAGAGCTTTAACAAGTCTCAGTTAGCCTGACGCAGTACATGTAGCAAGTTTTTTAAAATTATATAATAAATAAAAATGAAACGAATAGAATACAAAAAGAATAAAAAGAATAGATAAGCTAGTGTTAGTAAATGAATAGAATGCAAGTCTGTAAGGGGCAATTTTTTTTTAAAGAATAGAATTAGAATAGAGATTGCTAGAGTTAGAGGGTCAAATAAAGATGGAAGTGATGTGTTTTTTGCCGATTCTTGAAGATGGCTAAGGAATATAGCCATAAGGAAACTTAATATATATAACATAAGGAACTTGTGTTAATGAATCAGTTCAAGAATGCAATTAATGTCCAATTATTATAATTCATTTAGACATTGAAGGACAAATTATTCAATTTCCCGGTCAAACTCCACATATTAGAAGATTAAACCAAAAAGGTAAACTAGAGATTCCTATTAATGATCTGCTTCTAGACTCCATGCAGAAGAGGCATCATCGGAACGCAAAAAAGAAAGCAGAAATGGAGAAGAAGGGAAGCAGAAGCGACCAGACAGGAGACCGTGGACATGCTCTTGATGGCTAAGGAACTGCTTCGGATAATTCGACAACATGAACGTATAAATAAACGGTTGATGAAAAGGGTTAAACAATTTATTGAAGTTAATGAGTTTAATTTGAAGATGGAAACTTTGCGAGGTGAGGTTGACTGTTTGAGAATTCAAAGAGCCAACGCCGCTTCCAAAAGTATAAACGGTTAAACTGACATCCTGTCAAAAAGCGAGAGCAGGTGTCACTATCTGGGTTAACAGTTAACAAATGGAAAATGTTAAGGTGTGAAAACTTGCTCGTATATTTTTGCAAAGGTGTTGCTGCATTGTAGTAGTGTAGATGCATAATTGTGGGTAGCACTATATATAAGGTTTATTGGTTCATTAAGAGCGAAATTACGCAACAACATACAACAGAAAGCCCTTCTTTTTTTAAAACCACCTTCACATGGTTTATGTATTTGGCGTAAACGCCACTCCAGTATACATGCAGTTCATTCAGTCAGCAGATTTTTGCACGTCATTTCGACTACGTGGCATCTGAGGACTTCACTATTTTCAGCATGTACAGCATGTTCAATGGGTTGCATTGTTGTTTAGTAGCATGCCAAATGTTCAGAAATATTTTTCCTGAAGACTTTTACTAGACAAAAACTACATAAAATAGTTTTGTATTCATTCATCTTAGTGAAAAAATAAATATATATAATTTAAAAATGATGTGAATTTTGTGCAAGCAGTCAGTTCTCTATGGGACAAAAAAAGTCATCAAAAAAGTTTAATGTCAAAGAAGTCACTAACACAGAACATGATCACTGCATTGAAAAATACGAGATGCAGGGCAGTTAAACTAACAAAACACAAGGTACACAGGACATGTTTTTTCTTGTCTGGAAAACTTTAGTAGCTTAAGACCCCTGCATCTGCAAGCATCTTTATGTGTGTTTCTTTGTTTTTTTCACTTTCAGTGCAGCAATGTATTAAATATGAGACATCTGGTGAATTTAAAACATATTGCATGGATCTTTTCAGACTAACAACCATCATGACTCATCAAAACCTAAACATTTGTCTTATCACTGCAACCACATGTAAGCCTGCTGGGTAATGACCAAAAAAAAAAAAAAAAACTTGTCCTAAATGTCATTTGGTCCTAAAGTGACCAAAGAGAAGATAATTAAAACTCTAATCTCTTAAAACGTTGTATATCTCACTGCACCTCAAAATTAATTACGCCAAATAAACATCATAACATCTATTTACTGACTCCAACATTACATATCAGCCCAGACCTCACTTAGGATTGCAGTCTATTAGCGTCATATCAGCGATACATGCGATGCATGAGCTACTGGTTTTAAAACGGTTTATGACCGGTCATTAACATATATTTGCACATGATAAGAAGATGGACAGCAGGGTTTAGCAGAAAGAAACTCCTGCATAGAGAAAATCTCTTGGAAATAAAAATATGAAACTACAGCCTTGTTGTAAACAAGCCACCAAACAGTCACGTAACCAAAAAATGGTTAAGGGTTTGAAATGAGTCACTGTTGCTCAAATATTTGGACTGACATGATTGCATCATAATGGATAAGACACTTGTTTTGGTCCATGCAGTTCTTGTGTACAAAAAACATGAACCTTGCTGTTAGGACCAACAATGTAGAATCTTCTCAGTCTTTTCATTAAAAGGACCAATAACAAATCCTACTGACTTTATTTCAGCTTATTGATTTATAACCATCAACATTAAAGCCAGCTATGAGACTATTATTAGGCTTTACAATGGATTAAAATGATGGAATGTGGTGTAATACTGTAATAAACTGTTCATTCAAGGTTTGCCACATTTCTGTAACTGTTTTGCAAAGATAGCAAGCAGTCGAATACTTAGGCCTAATTTTTCCAAAAGAAACGTCTTACCGGAAAAGAAGTCCAACCAATTGTTTGGAAATATTACAGTAGCTATTCTGTGACTGTGAATCTTTCTAGAACTGTGCGTCTAACACACCCTCACTTGTCATTTAGTGGGTGGAAATGAATTAAATCTGGTTTTGGTTTCATTGCCCAAATAGGTTGCACTGGTCATGGTTTTAAAAACCGAGGAGGTTCTAGTAACTTTGAGAGTTAAATTTCCTTGACTGGTTAAGCAAGTTAACATGCATTTGTTATAAAAAGCTGCCGTTTGATAACCAACATAATTATGCCACATGTGCAGTAAGTTAGTTTGCAATCAAATACTCAAACATATGCTTTTGTAAACAAGGAATGGTGAAATCATGTAATAAACACAAATGCACCATTATTGATATGGCAATGAAATAATTTGCACCCGTATTAAATAAGAAAATTATCGAATCGTTTGTATACAGCAGGCTAAAAAAAAAATAGGTGCCACATACAAAAACGCAAACCACAACCCAATGAATTTCGATTCAGCCCATCGCTGCACAACTTAACATACAAAACCGCACACACAAACTGCGTTGCTTTGAATTCCAGACACTACTGATTTCCCAATGTATAGATTACCAGAAGAGTTGTGATCTTACTGTAACTATCCCGCAGTTCTCGGAGAAGCAGAGTGAGCTGATGTGGATCTACAGATCCGTCTCGAGCCGCTTGGAAACTTTACGAGACGCACGAGTGTGACGTGGACGCAGCCTGCCGCATCATCACAAGCACCATGTAACTGGCTACGTTACACCATCCAAAAACATCAGATTCTCAGATATATTTATATAATATACATATATTCAGTAGCCTTTCTCCCGATGTTTGAATCGATCAACTCGCATCTGATTATTTTTGACGTCAAAGTGGTCAGTCGGCTTTACCTGCTGCTGTCAGCGGGGTGTCCTTTGTTGGACTTTCTTCTGCTTTTGTAAATCATTTGACCGAAAACTAACAGACTAATTTGCAGCAGTGCAAACACGGCTATCTTCTTCTTCTTCAAAAAAAAAAAAAAATAAATAAATAATTTAGCTCATTTTAGTATCACACATTTGTCATTTTCTTTTTCTGGAACATTTCATACTCGAATGTTCAAGGTACTGCAGGTCAACAGTTTTTTTTATTCTCACCAAGGCTGCAATTATTTGATACATAAAATACAGTAAAAACATATTATTGCAATTTAACTTAATATTTTAATATATTTTCAAATATCATTTCTTTCTGTGATGCAAAGCTGAATTTTCATTAGTCATTACCCCAGTCCTCAGTGTCACGTTCAAATAGAAAATTATTTTAAATTGTAATAAAATTCAGTATAACTGTATTAATAAATTATTCGCCAAATTAATGCAGCTATGGTGAGCAGAAGAGACTTCTTAAAGGTGCCATAGAATGCATTGATACAATATTTTAAATTGTTCTCTGATATCTACATAGAAGGTATGTGGCTTAGGTAAGGGCAAAAAATCTCAAGAAACGGTTTTCAGGGTTCCCACTCTTTCATGAACACCAGATTCAAGGACTTTCAAGGA